AGCTGGAGCGGGACCAGGCGTCGGAGTTCGGCGCGTCGGCGTCAGACGTGCAGGTCGGGCACCAGACGGTCCACGCGTCGCACAAGGTGACGTACAACGAGGAGCTCGGCGTGCACTACTGCACGAAGTGCGGCTGCATCGCGCGGGAGTCCATGCGGTCGCTCGCGAAGGAGTGCGGCGAGCGGAAGCAGATGGGCGAGCAGAACCTCGCCAGGATCCAGCAGGGGTTCCAGCCTGGCACGAGCAAGCTCGCGCAGGAGTGGAACCGCACGCAGAAGGAGCTGATGAGGTGAGCTGCGCGCCGTTTGCGCGCCCCTCGCCCGTCGCACTGCCCCAGCGTGGGGGACCAGCGCCGCAGGCCAGGTCTTACAAACAATCAGCATCATCATCATCATCATCCTCATCCTCATCCTCATCATCATCATCATCACCACCATCATCATCATCATCAGCAGCAGCAGCATCATCGTCAGCGTCACCATCAGCATCATCATCAGCATCATCATCATCATCAGCATCAGCATCAGCATCGTCATCATCATCATCATCATCAGCATCATCATCGTCATCATCGTCATCGTCATCAGCATCAGCATCATCACCACCACCACCATCATCATCATCAGCATCAGCAGCATCATTATCATCATCACCATCATCATCGTCATCGTCATCGTCATCATCATCAGCATCAGCATCAGCATCAGCATCAGCAGCAGCAGCAGCATCAGCATCAGCATCATCATCAGCAGCAGCAGCATCATCATCATCATCATCATCATCATCACCACCACCACCACCACCACCACCACCATCATCATCATCATCATCATCATCATCATCATCATCATCATCATCATCATCATCAACATTATCATTTCGGCACACCCCTCACACGGCTCGTGGCCCCATAGGGAGCTCCACCGAACGCCCCAATGGGTGCGGTTGCATGCGTCACCGCCACACATTACGGCACACCCCTCACACGGTTCGTGGCCCCAAAAGGAACTCCACCGAAAGCCCCAATGGGTGCGGCTGCATGCGTCACCGCCACGCATTACGGCACATCCCTCACACGATTCGTGGCCCCATAAGGAGCTCAACCGAAGGCCCCAATGGGTGCGGTTGCATGCGCCACCGCCATACATTACGGCACACCCCTTACACGGTTCGTGGCCCCACAAGGAGCTCCACCGAAGGCCCCAACGGGTGCGGTTGCATGCGTCACCGCCACCCACTACGGCACACCCCTCACACGGTTCATGACCCCATAGGGAGCTCCACCGAAGGCCCCAATGGGTGCGGTTGCATGCGTCACCGCCACCCATTACGGCACACCCCTCACACGGTTCGTGACCCCACAAGGAGCTCCACCGAAGGCCCCAGTGGGTGCGCTTGCATGCGTCACCGCCACCCATTACGGCACACCCCTCACACGGCTCGTGGCCCCATAGGGAGCTCCACCGAACGCCCCAATGGGTGCGGTTGCATGCGTCACCGCCACACATTACGGCACACCCCTCACACGGTTCGTGGCCCCAAAAGGAACTCCGCCCCAATGGGTGCGGTTGCATGCGTCACCACCACACATTACGGCACACCCCTCACACGGTTCGTGGCCCCATAAGGAGCTCCACCGAAGGCCCCAATGGGTGCGGTTGCATGCGTCACCGCAACCCATTACGGCACACCCCTCACACGGTTCGTGACCCCACAAGGAGCTCCACCGAAGGCCCCAGTGGGTGCGGTTGCATGCGTCACCGCCACGCATTACGGCACACCCCTCACACGGTTCGTGGCCAAATAGGGAGCTCCACCGAAAGCCCCAATGGGTGCGGTTGCATGCGTCACCGCCACACATTACGGCACACCCCTCACACGGTTCGTGGCCCCATAGGGAGCTCCACCGAAGGCCACAATGGGTGCGGTTGCATGCGTCACCGCAACCCATTACGGCACACCTCTCACACGGTTCGTTGCCCCATAAGGAGCTTCACCGAAGGCCCCAATGGGTGCGGTTACATGCGCCACCGCAACCCAGTACGGCACATCCCTCACACGATTCGTGGCCACGGACGGAGCTCCACCGAAAGCCCCAGTGGGTGTGGTTGCATGCGCTACCGCCACACATTACGGCACACCCTTCACACGGTTCGTGGCCACATAGGGAACTCCACCGAAGGCCTCAATGGGTGCGGTTACATGCGTCACCGCCACACATTACGGCACACCCCTCACACAATTCGTGGCCCCATAGGGAGATCCACCGAAAGCACCAATGGGTGCGATTGCACGCGTCACCGCCACGCATTACGGCACACCCCTCACACGGTTCGTGGCCCCATAGGGAGCTCCACCGAAGGCCCCAGTGGGTGCGGTTGCATGCGTCACCGCCACACATTGCGGCACACCCCTCACACGGTTCGTGGCCCCATAGGGAGCTCCACCGAAGGCCCCAATGGGTGCGGTTGCAGCTGCATGCGTCACCGTAACCCATTACGGCACACCCCTCACACGGTTCGTAGCATAAGGAGCTCCACCGAAGGCCCCAGTGGGTGCGGTTGCATGCGTCACCGCCACCCATTACGGCACACCCCTCACACGGTTCGTGGCCAAATAGGGAGCTCCACCGAAAGCCCCAGTGGGTGTGGCTGCATGCATCACCGCCGCCCATTTCGGCACACCCCTCACACGGTTCGTGGCCAAATAGGGAGCTCCACCGAAAGCTCCAGTGGGTGCGGTTGCATGCGTCACCGCCACCCATGACGGCACACCTCTCACACGGTTCGTGGCCCCATAGGGAGCTCCACCGAAGGCCCCAGAGGGTGCGGTTGCATGCGTCACCACCACACATTACGGCACACCCCTCACACGGTTCGTGGCCCCATAGGGATCGCCACCGAAGAAGATGCTCACACTTGCGGTACCCACAACTGCATATGGTTGGGTCCTTCGCCAGGCTAATTTGTTATACTATTTTTGCATATTCCTCCTGTAGAGGGACACGCCCGACTTAACTCTAGTTCGAAAAGCCTCGCAAGCCAATGGTTTTGGAACGACTCCAGCACGCTCGCGTCGCGTGACGGCGCGCGCGCGTGGGGCCCGCCTGGTACGATTTGCTACACGTTCGCGTGCGGGGCGCGTCCTGGACCAGCGCGGATGCACCACGTGGTGAGGTGAGAATTCGGGTTCTGGGCGAAACTGCTAGATATAATGGTTTCTGTGATTTCAGTTCCTCCTCCACCGCCCGCCCCATGTCCCGAGCTCGTGGCAGGGTCATCAGCTCGCCGTTGCCGTTTTGTCGTCGTGGTCGTCGTCGTCCTTCTGGGTCGGCGGCAGAGGCCGTCAGACCTTCACAATCACATGGTTTCTCTGATTTCAGCAAATGAAGGGGCCCTGGAACACACAAAAAAATAGACACAGATAACAAGATGTCCCATATTTTCCTACATTTTCTGGGCTTTCGTTTTCCCATCCACTTCCCATATTTCTCTGAGGAATCGACGATGACTTGTGTCTGTGTGTTTTCGTTTCCCTCCTGAGCAAATGCGCGTGGGCAGAACATGGGCAGTCTTTGTGATGAGCACCCTCGCGATGTCGATGATGCTGCGCTGGAGCCCCTGCAGCGCGTGTGTGTTCTGGTGTGGCTCGACGTGTGCGCGCGCGCGTGCGGACTTGTGTTTTTTTTTGCGGCTATGGGGCTCATGAAGCAGGATACTATATCATAGACGTTTGCGTGCGTACATTATATTTTGACAGGGCTGAGGGGGGGAGAAGAAGAGGACCAGAAGAATCGAAGAGGGAGGAGGCCACAGAGCCGCGAAGATCACCGAATCCGGAGCCCCCCAGATTGGCGGCACTGGCCGGAAGCCATTACAATATTTTGACAGGGCTGAGGGGGGGGGGTCGATAAAGGGACTTCCTGGGATGGTCTGAGCTCGTATGGAGAACGAGCGACGAGGCAAAACTGAGATGCAACCTGCAATGTTCCAGGGGGCAAGTACCGTCAAGTCCGGGGGGGAGAGTGGTAGAGTCTCTTCCCCGTTGAGGAAGCAGAACACACATGGTGCAGGCCAGCGACAGCAACGAGGCGGCAGCGGGCGGCAGCGTGGCGAAACCTCGCCAGACCCGCGGTCACCGAACGCACGAGGCGGCAGCGAGGCAGCACCGTGACGAAACCTCGCCAGACCCACTCGGCGCACGAGGCGGCAACGAGGAGGCAACGTGGCGAAGCCTCGCTGGACCCAGCCAGCGCACGCGGCGGCAACGAGGCGGCAGCGGCAGCGTGGCGAAGCCTCGCTGGACCCACCATGGTGGGTTTGCTCTCCACCGCCACCACCACAAGTAGGAGGGCGAGGGGGTCCTCCTCCTCCTCGTCCTCCTCCTCCTCGTCCTCCTCGTCATCCTCCTCATCCTCCTCGTCTTCTTCCTCCTCCTCCTCCTCCTCGTCTTCCTCGTCTTCCTCCTCCTCCTCCTCCTCCTCTACCTCCTTCCCCCCTCCAACTCATGGTGGTGGTGGTGGAAAACAGGCCCAGCACACCAGCGCACGCAGCGGCAACGAGGCGGCAACGCGGCGGCAGCGAGGCGGCAACGTGGCGACACCTGGCCGGACCCACCCGGCGGCAACGAGGCGGCAACGCGGGCCGCAGCGTGGCGGAGCCTCGCCGGACCCATCGCATTCATTGGCATCACAAGTGGGACCCCCAAAGGGCAAGCACTGGCTGGGGACGAGAGAGAGAAAGAGGAAGCGAGAGAGAAAGAGAGATCAAGAGATGTTCCCCCTCCTTAGGCCCCCCCCCCAAAGAAGCGCCCCAAGTCCGTCGTAACACTCCACTTCGGCCTCCTCCCCCATCCCTCCTCCCTCCCTCCCTCCCAGACCTCTGGGAACCGCGGACAACCTCCAAGGACAGTTGAAATCATCCGAACACTGCCGAATGTATCACATTTCCTCTCTCTCTTTCTTCTATTCAGGCAGGTTGTTTCTCATCCTTCTCGTCGACCTTGACCGAGTGCTTCCAGAAGTCGGAGTAGACAAACACAACGTCCGAGCCGAGGCCGACCTCAGGGCGGTGAAGGAAAGTATGATGACACCGACCTCATCCCCCCCCCACGACGATCGACGACGGCGGCGATCGCGTTCTCGGCGGGGGCGATCGACGATCGACGACGACGACGACCACCACGATGACGACCGACGACGACGACGGACGACGACGACAACGACAACCACGATCGACGACGACGACCACGACGACGACAAAGACGACAAAGACGATCTACGACGACGACGACCAAGACCACGACGACGACGACCAAAACTACGACCACGACGACAAAGACGACAAAGACGACGACGACGACGGCCACGATCGACGACGACAACGACGGACGACGACGACGACAACGACGACCACGATCGACGACGACGACGACGACGACGACGACGACGACGACGGACGACGACGACGACGACGACGACGGCGAGAGGAGGGATCCTGCTGCTCCAACGTCTCCTTCCGTCTCTGGCAGGGCGACAAGGAAACCAGCAGCAACAGGAAAACGAGGACGAGCGAGGAGACGTGGCGGGGGCGGAAAAAGGAGGACAACCCCAGAGCTTTTCTTCGTGCTGTGCAGAAATCTCGACGAGAAGTTTTTCGTTATTTTCTCCTCCGGGGGGGCTTCCCGGGCCTCGGGGCCGTCCAGACACGATTCGGCACGCAAAACCAGTCCCGGGGAAAGAGTCGAGACCTCTGGAGGATTGGGTCGGGACCTCTGGACCTCTGGAAGGGACCGGAAAGGAGGACAACTACGAGCAAAAGGGAGGAGCAAGAGGAGGGGAGGATCGCCCGAGGAGGAAGGAAAGGAGGGGGAAGGGGGAAAAATGATGCCGAGGAGGCGGAACAGGGAGGGAGCGGGGGAGGAGAAACGGACGGAAACAGGAGTGTGAGTAGGAAGGTGGGTTTGGGGGGAGTCCAAGGGTGAGGATGTTTGCCTATGGGCGCTGCCGATGAGGAGCGGGGCGGCGCAGAGCAACGCCAATGGTCCGATTGAGAAGCGCAAGACAAAGAAATGCAAGCGAGACCCCAAACACAAACGACCGATGATGAGGAAGAGGACGAAGAGGACGACGACGAGGAGCAGGAAGACGAAGAGGAAAACGAGGAAAGGGGAGGAGGGAGGAGGAAGAGGAGGAGGGAAAAAAGGAAAAGGAAAAGGAAAAGGAGAAGAGGACAGGGAACACGAGGAACAGGACGAGAACGAGGAGGACGAGGAGGGCGAACTTGCCTTTGCGCAAGAAAATCCGCCGACCCTGTCGGCGTGTGTGAGGGGCTTCTCCGTTCGACTCGTCGTCTCCGTCGTCTCCGTTCTCCCCCTCCCAGGGCTCTCCTCCTCAAGCGCGCTATCCAAAGCGAAATTAAACGACGTCGTAGTGGAGTCGAAGGGAAGCCCCTTCCCTTTGATCCCTTCCCCGCAGGGGGGGGGGGAGGGTGGGGGGGGCCCGGGGCAGATGCGACGCCCGCCGGGGCGCACTTTCCTCGAGCGGGCACGCACGGGATGCACTTCCTCCTCCTCCTGGTCCTCCTCCTCCTCCTCCTTTTCCTCCTCCTCCTCCTCCTGCTCCTCTCCTCCTTCTCCTCCTCCTCCTCCTCCTCCTCCTCCCGCAGAGGCGTCCCGGGAGCGGGCCCCGAGTCAAAATACCACCCCCCTAGGGCGCATTTTCCTCGAGCGGGCACGCCCGAGATGCACTTCTTCCTCTTCCGGGAGCACGTCCCACGTCAGAATATCACACTCCCGGGGCGCATTTTCTTCGAACGGGCACACAAGGATGCACTTTCTCCTCCTCCTCCTCCTCCTCTTCCTCCTCCTCCTCCTCCTGCTTTTCCTCCTCATCCTTCTCCTCCTCCTCCTCCTCCTTCTCCTCCTCCTGTTCCTCCTCCTTCTTCTCCTCCTCCTCCTCCTCTCTCCTCATCCTCCGCTTCCTCCCCCCACTCCTAGCCCTTTCGATCAGGGTCGGCGGCGCCGGCCGTCAGGCTTTTCCAATAATCAGAAGCCGCCGCCGCTTGACGGTCCGCAGCAATGCTTCGCACGCCTGGAAAGTTGACCATCTGGCGCAAGATCAAGTCGAGCATGTTGAGCCCATTGCTGCTGATAGTTCCTGTCCGATTGCGCCCTGACCCCGCGCGCGTTGCCTTGCCGCCCAAAATGGCATCGGAGAAAGTATTGGCCACCAGGGAGGAATCGCCAGCGCAAGGCTTCATGAACAAATCTCTGCGGGCCACGTCCCCATCGTCGCGGGACCGGTCGCAGAATGTTTGGTCGCCGATAATGCGTTCCTTCTCGGGCAACTGCGGGCCCAACCGCTCATTGGGATCACCAAAAAAGGACATGCCTGAAAGTGCCGGTATTCTGCGGCCAATTTGAAAGGAGAAGCAATGTTTCTCACCCAGAGCCTTACCGCTACGAGGACCACGCGCCATGCAAATTTCAAGCGCCAATCTTTCACGCGGGAATTCAAAATGCATCGCCTTTTTTTTCCGATGATTGTTTGAGAAATTGCACATGCCTCGTGCAAGGTGGAACGACGATAGAACCAACGCCGGCTCAAGATCTCGCACCGGCATCACTCGTCGAAAAAATAATCAAATGATCGCCCTCTACCCTCGCGCTGCCATGGGCCATGCGTCGCCCGAGTCTCTTGTATATTCGGCGCGTCGACGCGGCACTCGCGCGCGCGCGCCGAAATTGCTCGATTCCAGGTCCGCGGGCCCCTCGACGTTTCAAAAGACGCAGACTATCCTGCCCTCCCAAACCGGCTTGCCCGGAGGCTCGGGCCCGAGCACACCGAGCCCCGGAACGGAGCTTCTGTCCGCGCGGGGCGACGTGAATCCACGCCCTCAGGGCCCCGGGGCCCCGCCACCGTGGCAAGCCTTCGCCTGCCCCCTGCGACGTGCTCTCCCGGCCCTTGGCAAGCCTCTCCATGAAGACAAGCACCTCCCATGCCTGAGGTTTCCGAAGCCCGTCGCAAGTCTTTCACTCCCCCGTCATCCAGGTGACGATGACCTCGTCGTTGATTACCTTCACCTGGGCCCCGCCCTCGCATTCTGGGAGAACTCCAATCGATCAGCTGGTCGCGAAGGCCCCTCAAGAAGCCGGTGCAGGCCCGAGCCGCGATGGCATCCACATCGCACCAAATCCTGCTTTTAGCCCCCCCAAGTTCCCGGCCCCCCTCGCCCCCCCGGCAGACATCAATCGGCCAAACAAGTTCCTGGAGCCGTTCGGCGGAAGCCAATCCTGGAAGCCTCCAATCGCGAGCGCCGTGGACAAAGTGGCCGCGTGCGTCGGGGTGCCTCCAGCGACGCCCGCGCTCATCTTCTGGAGAGACTCCTCGACGATCTCCGCCGCCCCCCCCCCCCCCCCCCATCGCGATCTCCCCCCCCGCGCGCGCTGCCCCCTCCAAGTTATCCTTTCCGACGGCTGTCTCCGCCAGCTGGGCCAGGCCAGTCTCAACTGCCCCGGCGGCGATCTGTGTCTCCGCGACCACCTGCGCTGCCGACCTGGCTTCGCCCCTCGCCCCCGAGCTACCTCCTGGCTATTCCTCGTCGTGCTTTTCATGTTTCATGCCCCTCATTGTGATCTTCATCGCCCCGTTGATGTCCTCCTCCTCCTCCTTCTCCACGCCCCCTCCCCCCCTGGTCCTTCCCCGCGCCCGCGCCCTCGTGCTTCGCCGCCATGTCGGGGGCGGCCCCCGCGCCGGCCCCGTCGCCCTCGTCGTTGACGGCCGAAACTTTTGCTGGGAGCGTCTCGCCGCCGGCTGCGGCGCCGGGGCCCCTCTTGCCCAATAGTTGCCGGCCGGCGCAGCTCGAGCATCCGGCGGGGCAGCGCCCCGGGCCCCCGACGTCGTGATTTTTCGCAGCGTCGCCCCCCTGAAGTCTGGACCCTTTCCCCGGGGCCGGTTTTTCATCCTGAATCGTTTTTTGACGGCCCCGAGGCCCGGGAAGAGGCCCTGGAGGCCGAAAAACTGAAACACCTCGCGTCGTGATTTCCCACGCAGCGCGAGGAGGTCAGGGACCTCCGCTGCGCCCGTTCCCCGCGCCGAGTCGCCCTTGACGCCGCCGGCTCCGGGGGCTGCGCCGCCCCCGGGAAAGCGCGGGCCCCGCGGGGCGCCGGGCGCGCGAGACATATTGGGAGCAGGAGGTCGGGCAACTCAGCTCGAGTAGTCGGATGCGCCTCCAGCCTCGAGCCAGTCGACGCCCTCGTCGAGTGGATGGCCGAGGTTTCCAACTGGGGAGATATGAGTGATACTGCAGGCGCCCCGTCTGCTGATTACACTGCCGAGGATTTCAATCCCATCGGTAATTTCATTCCGAAGCCCGAACATGAACGCACGCAACGTTTGCGAGTGTGTATATATATATATATGTACATGCAACAGGTAGGACTGTGCCTGACTCGCACGTTCATTGGAAGTGAGGAAACGCACTGCAACAAGGTTAACAAGTCCTGGATTGTTTTACTGGGTCCCCCATCTAGGCGGGCGGTCTTCTATCACACAGTGTCGACTTCTTGCGCGCGTAGGGGGGGAACTCCAGATGGTCCCCACTGCCAAGCGATGGAACCACTGGCCCCTGCAGGCCCCCGACAGGCGCCGTCTGAGTTTCCCCCGCACCCTCTGCATATGGCCTGCGCCTGGGCTGGGACAGACTCGTCGAGGGGGGCAAGCGATGGGCTCAGGAGAAAGAGGTTTCTTGGTGATCCCAAAACCGTGTGGTGACAGACCGCGCGGCGACGTCGGAATCCCAAGAGACCGCGCCGCACGGTCCGCCACCGCACGGTCATGGGGCCCTGGAGGCCCCCATCGCCTGAGACATCCTCGGAGAGGGGCGA